GCTGATCCCCCATTTTAACCAGAGGAAAGTGAGAGAGCTCAGCACAACATCGCACCTTTCTCACCCCACTCTGTCCTTTTGCCTAGTTCTCAGAGGAAACAATACTGGCTTCTATTATAATCAGTAAAAATTTCTCTTTACAACAAATATATTTCCAGAAAAAACAATGAGAACTGATGTGAAGCAATCTAGTATATACTGAAGTCTGAAGGTGGCCTGCAGATGTGAGATTTAGGGGAGACAGGACGAGACAAGACCCAAGCCTTTGCAATTCTCTAGGAGTCAAAGTTTCTAAAATGCCACCTCCTCATTCCTGCTTCAACCCACATTCCTGAGCCAGCCTGGGAACCCTGAACCCCGGGTGGCCCCAGATGCCGGGATACGCCTCTGTCTCCCCCCTCTGACTTCACTGCTCTCTCAAGCCACTGCTCTCGGCCAGAGTGCTCCGAGGCTCCCAGTCTAGGCAACTGCACACGTCACACGGGGCCCCGGGGGCTGCCTCCCCGGCTCTCTGGGGCTCCCTGTCTGACTGCTGGGCCTCCGTGAGCACCATGAGCCGGGTCAGCAGGCGGGTACACACAGTGGAGGCAGAGCTGTGGCTGCTCTGGCCAGTGAAGACGGGATAAAAGGTTAATTCAAGTCCCAAAGTGGGATAAAATGTTCAAGATAAAGTGTAGGTGCATTTTTTTCTAATTAAAATGGGTGTTTCTCACAAAAATTAAATAATATAAACATTATAGAAAAGAGAACAAGCCCTCCTTGGTGGCTCAATGGGTTAAAGCACAGCAGTAGGCAGCCGCTGCAGCATGAGTTGGATCCCCGGCCAGGGAGCTGACCCACGTGGTGCGGCAGACCTCTCCTGTCTGGCCCGCTGCTCCCCTCAGCAGTGTATTTCAGTCCATCTGCCTGTTCTGCTCCCCACTCTGTCTCTGGTGAATCCTCTCACCTCTCCGCATGTCTGGGCTGTACCCCAGACAGTTCTTGTATGTGTAAAAACAAACAAAAAAATAAATCTTTAAAGCAAAAACAAAGAACACAAAGGCACTTCCAATTTCATGACATTACAGCAACGTGCTGCTAACGTTTGGGCAAATCTTTTGGGTGTTCACCATTTGTCCATGTGAGTGTCCAATTGTATAAGACACACCAAATATTTTGCACTGAAATGAATTTTTCCACTCAACAGTCTCATGTTTCTACTCATTACATACCCACCTACACCCATTATTCTCTTGTAAAGACTGCATCACCTGCGTTATTTACATATATACTGTTTCTCTAGCCAGCAACCCTACTAAAGAACATTCTAGCAGTTTCCACCTTATCCATCATAGAAACAACATGGCTGTGAGCAGCCAGTCTGATTCTCTGTTGAGATATTGCTAGAATTGGCGTGCCAGGTCAACGGTGTCCTTTGGGAACACGCTCTCCTAGAGAGGCCCAATTGACGGTCCTTCCACGGGGCACTCCGCCCACACTGGCTCTGTCATTGTTCCCATTGTCATTGTTCCCAGACTAATGAGTGAAAATTGTATTTTGTTACATTTTAATGTACTGGTCGTGATGCTGGCAGGGTTTCCTGGGATATCTGTCATGTACCGTTGGTGAGTGTCTGTGCACCTCCTTTGCCTGCTTTGTTTACTTGAGTGGCTTGTTTGGGGACATTCACTGTTTGCATGACACATTTTATCCTAGTTCTGTGGCTTTTGTTTACCATTCTGAAGGTTTATGTTTCCTTTTCATTTGTGATCATATAATTTGCTCTAATTGTATTATTTATTATGACCTTCATCTAGTATAACCTTTGACATCCTGTTAAGGAAGCTCTTGCCTCTCTTAAGGCTAGAAAAGACATGAATTCTTTGTTAACTTTGTAATTTCATTATTTAATATTAACCATTAAAATATCTAATAGAGCTTGGCAAAGAGCAAGGCAAAGAGCAAATATTCATTTCAACAAGTTTTGCAGAGTGTCTTTTCAACTGCCCCATCACATTAATAAAGAACGCATTTTAAGTCCATGGATTGGGAGTCCATTTTTCCATATATGACATTTCTACATGTTTGTTTTTAGAGAAATCTCTGCCTTTTCTGGTCTGGCAGGGGGCTGAAGTGGGAGGAGTGGATGGCCCACTGTCTTGCTGATCATGTCTGACAGGCTTGTAGGGGATGGAAAACTTGCCCAAGTAGTGGTCAGTCATCTGAGACTTGATCTCCATCTATGTTTACATTTACGCCAGGTCTCTCCATGTGAGATCTCTTTATGTGATCGACTGTTCTCTGTCTACTTCCGGGTTACTAATCATATGGAGTTTTCTGGCCATTTTTTAAGTTACTTTCAAAATAAATTTCAGCAATGCTTTGTCAAATTCCTTAAGAAATGTTGATGTTTACTGCTGTTGCGTTGTATTTACTGTTTTAGGAACTAATACAAAATCTTCCTGACAAAGACCAAGGTATGCTTGTATTATATATTTGTCTTCTTTTACACTCTGGCAGTCTTATGATTTTCTTCAGGCATCTCATAGCACATTATAGGCACAACATAAAATATCAGAAGCTAAACCACACAATTCTCTCAATGAATGCCTGACTTTTAAACTAGAGTCATAGCACATTTATTCCCATTTATTTTATGCTTATAGTGTACCTGACTTACAAGCAGTATTTAGAAAATGTTATTCATGATTAATTGGTTTCTGTTAATGTGAAACAATGACAGCAACAATTCTTTGTATATATATATTTATAATTGGTAATATAATGTTTTCAATAGACTTTAAATTTTTTCTAGCCAAGCATTATGTTTCTAGTGATTTCTTTTACATTGAACACTTATTTCATGTTAGACTATATTAACTGTATTAACTGCAATTTTTCTATTTTCTAAATTTTACACTGTATGTTTACTTTTCTTGACTAATCACACTAGCCAGGCCTTCAGATTATTATTAAAGAACAAACAAGATCTAAAATGAAGTTAAATCAGCCTTTTCTTATTCCTGACTGTAATGAAAATGTTTCAAGTGCTTTACTACCAGTGATGATAACAGAAGTTAATTTGAGAGTAGTTTTTTTTCATTAAGTTAAGTAGATAAATTTTATTCTTAGTCTTAAAAGTTAGTTTTAAAATTCTAGTTTAAAAGTCAGGCATTCATTGAGAGAATTGTGTGGTTTAGCTTCTGTGTCCTATTCATGAATAGATTTCATAATATGACACCATTCTGATATTTTATGTTGTGCCTATAATATATTCAACCTTTTAAGTGTTTTTTTATGGATCTTATTGAATGCAATTTAAGATTTTGTACCCCATAAATAAGGAATATGAAGATTGGTATATGGTTTTCCTTTTGGTGTTGAGGTTTACTTTAAAATAACAGTTTTACTATTTACTTTCTAATTACCCATTTTATTTTATTAGTTACTTTGCCTTGTTTCCTTAACATTATTCGTTATTATATATATTTTTAAAGATTTATTTATTTATTAACATACAGAACTGGATTACAGGAGGTGAGAGGATTCACCAGAGACAGAGTGTGGAGCAGAACAGGCAGATTGATGAAGTACACTGCTGAGGGGAGCAGCAGGTGAGAAAGGAGAGGTCTGCTGCACCATGTGGGTCGAACTCACACTGAAGACACCACAGAGCACTTGCAGTGCTGTGCTTTAACATGTTGCGCTACCAGGGAGGGCCCTATTTTTGTTATTTTTAATGGTTTCCTAGTCTATAAGATAGGCTTAAGAATGGTACTTGTCGGGCCCTCCCTGGTGGCGCAGCGGGTTGAAGCACTGCACTAGGAAGCTAAAGCCACTTCTGCATGAATTTGATTCCCGCCTGCCCCGGAGGTGACCACATGGCATGGCAGACCTCTCCTGACTCGCCTGCTGCTCCCCTCAGCAGTGTACTTCATCGATCTGCCTGTTCTGCTCCCCACTCTCTCTGTGGTGAATCCTCTCACCCTCCGCATCTCTGGCCTGTACCCTAGTTCTGTATGAATAAATAAATAAATCTTTAAAAAAAAAAAAGAATGGTACTTGTAGGGTTATTGTGAGAATTTATTCAATGAATTAATATTTGTAAAATATCCACATAGGTGCTATTTTCAGGGTTATTATTTTTTAAAAGATTTATTTATGTATCCTTACAGAACTGGGGTACAGGCCAGAAGTGTAGGGTGAGAGGATTCACCAGAGACAGAGTGGAGAACAGAACAGGCAGATCTACTGAAATACACTACAGAGGGGAGCAGCAGGTGGGCCAGGAGAGGTCTGCCACGCCATGTGGGTCAGTTTCCTGGCTGGGGATCGAACTCATGCTGCAGTGACTTCTGAGAACTTCATAGCATGGTGCTTTAACCCATTGAGCCACCAGGAAGAGCCATTTCAGTGTTATTATTTTTATAAATTATTATTTTACAGTGTGAAGTGTTATGATATAGTTAAACAACATATATTATATCATATATAACATATATTATATCGGTAATTTATTAATGGTGTATTTTAGATACCTCCCTATCTTATTCTTTCTACTTCATCTGTCAGGAACTAAGAGAAGTGTGGCAAAATCTCACTGTGCTACTGCGCTATTATCACGTTTTGTACTTTTCTCCCATGACTTTTGCTTCATGTAAGTGCCAGTAGCCATTCCCAGGCAATTAGATTCATAATATTTATATTTTTGTTATAAGTTGGAGCTCTTGGTTTTATCTCAGACTTTTTTTTTAATCTTGATTCAACCTTGTTGCATACTAACAAACAAAAATAACTTAATTTTTGTTGTCATAGTTTACATCATACTGGGATATCTTATTTCACTTTTAATATTTGACTAACAATGTTTCAGATTTGTCATTTAGAACACACAGCTGAAGTTCTACTTGTTCTGTTTTGTAAAAATCCATCCAAAGTCCTTTTCTTTTAAAAGAAGAATTTTATCCAGTTACATTTATTATTAACAGCATGTTTAATACTGCCTCTGTCATGTTGTTTTGCTCCCTGATTTAATGTTTCCTTGTTCCTTCTTTTTTCTCTTATATGTTGCTGTAGGATTTCTGTTTTCTTTTAAAAATTTTCCTTTCAGCAATTTGGAAGGGATATATAGTCTGCTTTCTGTTAAACAAGTTTAGAACTTTAAATAACACACTCAGATTTCGTTTTCTCAATATATCATTGATGTGTGTTTTTTATAACAGTGCTTGGCTGCCTACCCTGATTAGAGTCACCATTTGCTTGCCAAAACTCCTCCTCACTTATGCCAGGCTGAGCTTTTCCTCCACAGCCCAGACTAAATGGCTCAGGCTGCCCTTGTTTGTGGCTGTTTAAAAACAAAACTCGTTAACATATTGTCAAATCATCCTTCTCTGAAGCCTACAGAGATTTCGTCTAGCTGCCAATGGTAAGACAGCGTGCGGCCTGCGTGTGACGGTGCCAGGCCCACTCTGGAACAGGGGAGGGCCCGAACGGTGGGATTCGAGGCTCAGAGGTTTGGAAGTGACAGCCACGGACCTCCCCGCACAGGACGAGCATGGGACAGAGGCACACAGCTGATGCTGAAGTGCCTTTCTTGCCCTCTGGGCTCCAATGCACCCCAACGACTTTCTCATCCAACAGTATCAGATGCTTGCTCCCCTGGGCCAGGAAAATTTCTGTTTCTTCTGCCTGCTTCATCTCTTCTCTCCCTGTTTACAGCACCTTCCAGAACTCTCTCTAGGGCTGTTCCATGTCCTCCTAGAAAGGCTCTGACAGATAAAAGTAGGGTGTTTGGGAGCCAGATGGAGCCTCCCTGAAGGGCCTCCTGGGCCTCCTGACATCAACAGCCCTCCTTGTGCGCCACTGTCCAGCTCCATCTGCTTCCTCCAGGGGGGCTCCCTAATGACTCCAGAGTCCTGACTGCCCATCACTCTGAGTCATCTGCTGCATTCTGGTTCAGGGCGCTCTCTTGAGCTGATCTCTGACTCTCCCAACCTACTGACCTGGTTTCCTCAACTAGACTGAAGGTCCTGTGGTCAGAGCTGTGGTCCTCTTCTCTTGACACCCCTGTAGTACCCCCATCACTTGATATAAGGAAAGATTAAAAAACTTATGGGCCCCTCCCTGGTGGCGCAGTGGGTTAAAGCACAGCACTGAGAAGATAAAAAGCCACTTCAGCATGCGTTTGATCCCCACCCCGGAGGTGACCCACATGGTACAGCAGACTTCTCCTGACCCACCTGCTGCTCCCCTCAGCAGTGTATTTCATCGATCTGCCTGTTCTGCTCCTCACTGTCTCTGATGAACCTCTCACCACCCCTGCACCTCTGGCCTGTTCCCTAGTTCTATATGCGTAAAAAAAAATCTTTAAGAAACTTATTGAGCAAATGGGAGATCAAGACAAAGGACTCTGGAGTCCAGGTGCTGGGGTGCAAATGCCACATCTGCTGCTTGGAAAGGGTGGGGCCTTGGGCAAGTTTCTTCTACAGAGGCTTGTTGTGGGCTTAGGTGTGCCACTGTGTGACATGCACAGCTTGGCCTCCGGCCCTAGAAGACAACAACTAAGCGGAGCTGCCACTGTACTAACAGCACCCATGTGAAGAGCACTGATTAAATGCCCAGTGCTGGGTGCAGAACTCAAGTGCAGGAGGCTGGTGACCTGTGACCTCTGCCAGCAGTGCACTGTGATCTGGTACAGTCACTTCCCTTTCAGGGAACAAGGTGGACTGCACAGATTTCTCAGTGCACCGTCCTATTCTGACATCCGCCTGGGCTGTGGGTGTGGAGAGTCTGGGAGTTGATCCCTATCCTGGGGGGCTGAGGGAGGATATTTTCAGCAGAGGTTCTGCCCCAGTTTCTGGCCTGATGTTCCAGCCGCAGACCTCGGGCCCCCACCTCCCCTCCCGCTCCGCCCCTCCCTGCATCCCCAGGCAGGTACCAGCGCTCCACTGCTGAGCAGGATCATGAAGATGATGAAAGTCTCGAACCAGCTGTGCTCCACGATGCGGTAGCAGGTCTTGCGCAGCCGCCACCAGACCTTCCCTGGGGACTGTGTGGTGTCCACAGCACAGCAGGGGCAGCGCCGGACACAGCCTAGGGGCAAGGTGTGGGTTCAAGTTGAGCTCAAGGCCTGTGAATGCCCACATGTGCGGGCAGAAGGATGGTGGAAGGACCGATGAGAGACTACAGTGGAGTAATGGACAGGCCTGCATGGTCAGCGGGGCCATGTGAGGGTGGGGAAGCGAGAACGGGGGTGCAGCGGGGTCTCCCGGAGAGGCTGGGTGGACTTGGCAACTGGGCCCCTAATGAGCAGGTGAAAACCCCGGCGTGTCTATGCTGGGTTGAGGCCGGGCTGAGATGGGCTTTAGCACATCCTCCGCTCATCTGACCCACGGTTGGGCAGCTCACCATGAGCAGATGCACCGCAACCCAGGTCACGGCAGGTGGAGAAGTCCCCAGAGTTATGACGGGGAGAGGGGGCAGATGACCAGGTAAGGGTGGGGATGACATGACTTGTCCCCAGGGCTACTGTCCTCCCGCCCTCTAGCTGGGGCTGAGGCTGGGCAAAGGGCTGCCTGGCCAGTACCTTCGGTGAAGCAGTCCTCTGGATCCTTGACGTCCTCGCCCAGGTCAGGGATCTGCTCCAGCAGGTCAGCGGTGTTGGTCATGTCTGCCGTGCTGCCCTCCGAGTAACTGTCCTCGTGGGTCTGTAGGCAGGGGCGAGGGCGGGGTGGCGAACGTATGAGTGCGGGCCATGTGGCATCCTCTGACCTGCATCCAGAGTCTGGGGGACCCAGGCGCTCCCCAGAGGGAGGTATCAGACTCTCCTCCATCACACCCCCTGGGCATCTGAGCCTGGGGTGGGTGAGAACCTGCCACGGAGCCCCTGGAGGGCCACACTGGACTGAGATAAGCTGGCACCTCAGGATGCCAGGTCTGAAACTCCTAGTCTCCTGGTCTGCTGGAGTCCAGGGCGAGGATGCAGGCATGTCGGGGCTTCTAGGAAAACACTGGGGGTGGGGAGCACGTCCCGCTGTGGACACAGCAGACAGGGGCAGCGACACAGACACACACTGGCACATGATACACGGCAGCAGCTCGGTACACACACAGGCATGCCACACCCAGAGCAGTCAGGATGCCATCCCGGCACAGGCACAGGTCAGACAGGCTCAGAACCAGCCAGCAACCCGGCTCGTGCATCTCCCTTGAACGGGGGCTGCTCAGTGTCTGTAGAGCAACAGGTGCCAGAACCTCCTGTCTGGCCAGACAGGAGACAGGGTTCTGCTGCCCTGACGCGGGTGGCCCCAGGTGTAGAGGAGGGGAGTGTGTGCCCTGTGAGCATGCGTGGCCTGCGGAGAGGGGTGCTGGTGTGGCCACAGCTGCTTGCCTAGTTCCTCTCTCCTGCCAGGGCACCTCCCCAGCTCTTTGGTCACTGGCTGCCTAGCTGGGCTCCTTCTCCAGAAAACTGTCATCAGCCAGGGAATTGCCACTGCTGGAAAGGGCTCAGGGGTTTCAACCCAAGTCAGAGGTGGCTGACACCCACTGACTGATGTGAGAACACAAGGGCCAGCCCGTGGCCGTGGGCGGGACCAGTGCTGTGGCACAGGTCACGCTCCGGAGCACCCCTGGGGATGAGACTGAGGCTGGAGACCAGTGACCATGGTTTTCAGAGCTGCCTCCTTCGCCTGGGTCAGCTTCCCTCACTTGTCTCTCCAGAGGACACCCAATAAAGCATGTGCACAAGGTTCATTCCAGGCCCTGTTCTGAGGAGTCCAGGTGGCGGGATAGGGGGTGCTTTGAAGGAGGGGGACACTTCACTGACTTCAGAACGTCCCCACCCCCAGCTCGGCCGGCTGCAGGCTCAGGCCCCACTCAGAGTAGAGAGGGCTTGCATGAGGTGCGCCGAGCCCATGGCCGGGCCTCTGCTGCTCAAGCTGCCTCTGTCCTCCTCCTTCCACGACTCATCCGCCGAGTCTCAAAGTCCACTTTACTGTCAAGGTTTGTGATGGAGAGGGCGGAGTGTTCCGGGGTGCAGGATGGGGCTGCAACCACAGGGTGAGCTCTGCCATCGTGGACCCGCCATTTTGAGGGCCCCTCCGTCCTCCGGCCTTGCTATGAGGGTTGAGCTGTGGAGACCAGAGCCGCAGTAGTTCCTCACTGCTTCTCTTTTCAGATCCAGGTGCTGCTGAGTTTATACCACGTGTCACATGGGAGGACAAGTTCTTGGGGTCACACCGCAGTGATGGAGAGGGATCGTTCGCCCAGGAGAGCCCCAGTCTGCTTCTCACGCCCCTTGATAGTCTCATTGTGAATGGACTTGAGACAGGAAGTGACTGAACTCATTCAAAGGTTGGTATTCCGCACGACAGCCCCCTTTGCTCCCCAACTTTCTCTTTCCTGTTTCCACAGACCGTTCAGGGGACGAAGAATGACTTGGCCTGTTGGGACCAGGCCTCTCCCTGGCCCTTGTGCTTCAAAGCTGGCCACTTAGCAAAGCCTCCCATGGACGCCTCCTTTGAAAGGGACAAGGCGAAGGAGGATGGGACCCCTGGAGCAAGTCTCAACTGCTGCTCTAGGCTGTGCCGGGGGGTGGGGGGTGGGGGGTAGGACATCTAAACACAGGACCGCCCTCCCGCGAAAGAGCGAGCGGGCTGGCTGGCGGTGTTAACACGCCGGCAGGGGTCGCACACTCACATGCGGGTAGGGGAGAAGCCAGGCAGGTAGGATCTGTGGCAAACCCGGGAGTTCCTGCCGGTGTCAGGAGGAGGTCACGGAGTCAGTCTCCAGCAGGGCAGATCTTCCCATTTTTCCAGACTATTGCCCAGATGCATATTTTTTAAACCTCAAAATGGCCAGGTTTAAATGTTGGTGGCTAATCACGGTAAAACCCTTTGTGGACAAACAAAACCCAACAATAGGTTGGGTGGGTCTCTCTTCTAAGGCCTCTGCTTTAGCTAGGTGGGAAGCAGCTGCTGGCCTCTGTGCCAAGAACTTGTTCTCAGAGCTCCCAGATGTTCTCTGGGATGGGCTGATACACAGGACAGACATTTGCCAGACAGGAACCAAGCCAGGAGCCGAGCAAGGAGGGGTCACAAACAGAGGTGATCCTGTGTGGAGTTAGCAGGTCCTGTCTGGCTGTTTCCAGAAATTCCTATGACTGCCCTCCCTCCCCGGTCACAACAGGGTTGCCCACAGCCTTGTCTGTAGACAGAAGTGTGTTACCTCACTGCACCCTGGGGCTGGGGGCTCCGCTTTGCGCTGCTGTTGCCAGTCTGCCTGAGCCACACTGGCCTCACCCTCGGAGGAAGCAGTCTCTGACACCTGGCTCCAGGCCTCAGGCTCCGGGAGGGCCTCTGGGCCACTGGACACAGGTTGAGATTCCTGCTGAAGAGACCCCACACCATCAGCAACCTGGCCAGCGGGTCTCCAGGGCTCCGACTGAACTTTGGCACTGCCCCTGGTCTTTCTAGGAGGCCTGGTCTCACTGAAGACCACTCACTCAGGGCCAGCTGGGAGTCCAGGCAAAGGGTTTAGAACTGGACAAAGCCTGGCATAAATCTCCTGCACCTCCTGCTCCCTGGACGGGTGCAGCTGGCTATGATGCCCAGATCCCAAATGCTGACAACTTCACTTAGGGAGGACGTGTTGATCTCCTCCAAGCCTCCATGAGTTCCCATCACACTCCAGCTCTCCTGTACCAATGTGAAAGCATACACACACACACACACACACACACACACACACATCCTAGAGAACCAGAGTCAGTAGGCTCAGGAGAAGGAAAGGAGAAGACAAAGCAATGGCCAGATTCCATTTCTGGCCTGAGAGCATCCTGGAGATGACTGGAAGCTGTGGTCCCGGCAAAGCCAACAGGCCTCCCAACGTGTGCTGGTTCCCAGGGTCAAGGATGGCTTCTGGGACCACAGCGAAGCAGGACATGGAACCTTGCCTGAGGCCTCAAACTACACGCATGGGGAGCAGCTGGTTTCCTCTGGGGGCCCAGAGCAAGCGGCCAGGATGGGCCTGACTAGACAGGGAGAGCCTGAAGACCGAAGGAGCCCGGCTCAGGCCCACTGTGAGTGTGTGAGGGGCACTGGCTCTTTGGTCCAGACTCGGGTATCCCACGTGTTAAAAATAACAGGTTGAGAGATAAGATAGCGCTGTCTCTGACACCTGTCATCTTAGGGATACTTATTTTTAAATCTCAGAGTTAGCCCTGGACTTGGGAGGAGGGGAAGGGGCAGTTGGGAGGTCAGGAGACTGCACGCCTCTGTCACAGAGGCATCAGCCCTGGTGAGTCTGGAGGGGGATGGAGATCAGGAGGGGTGTTGGGGAAAAGGGGGCTTCGCTCTATCTTAGACTATGAGGAACTCCTAGCCAGTTTCTCCTCTCATGCCTCAGTTTCCCTTTTTCTGTACAGTCAGGGGAGTCAAGATGGATAAACCTCTCCCAATAACCCTTCTTGAGCTGGGTGGGGACAGAAGGTTGACAATGGCTTCAGCATTCCTCTACAAGGCTGGCTGAAGGGGGACAGCCTGCCTTCCACCTGCACCCCACTCGTGCTGGGAAGCTCCTCTTGGAAGGGCAGCTGCTTTATGGGACGCTGGGTCTCCTGGGCAGCAGAGGCCTGGGCCCTGTCCAGGTAGAGGCAGCATACACGTGGTGGTGGGGCGCTCACCTGCTTGCTGGTCTCTTCCTCTTCCTCATCATCATCCTGGTCATCTGTGTCTGACTCAGCCACGGCAATCGGCACACACATGGGCTCCGGGTCCCCCGGGGTGCCCTGGCCTGGCCGCTTTCCTTCTTCAAACCTGGTTTCCTTGCGGGCTGGAGGCGCCTTCTCTGTCTCAGCGGGCGGTGGGGAGCTGGAGGTGGCAATGCAGCTAGGCAGCTGGCCACGGGGGGCGAGGACCGCGGGTTTGGGGGGCCGTCGCTGCAGGAGCCCACAGCAGAAGTCCCAGGTGGTCCGCTTGACGAAGCGCAAGCCCCTCTGGATGCGGGCCAGGGCCAGCTGGAGGTTGTTCATCTCCCCATCCTCATCAGGGGCTGTGAGGTTGTCTGCGCTGAAGGAGCTGAGCAGCAAAGCCAGGAAGAGGTTCAGGACCTGTACAGGCAAGGAGCCAGGCTCACCAGGGCATTCGCACGCTGTGGGCACACAGCCTCGGCCCAGGGACTGGAATCACTGCCAAACAAATCCAGGCTGAATCCAGAGCCCTGGGCCCTCAGCCTAAGTGTCCATTTGGTTTGACTCCAAGCCAGTGGAGGAAAAGGGAGACAAAATTTAAATTCCTCTTGCCTATCATTCAGACCCAGGCTTCGTGTTTTGGTCCAGGTTCAGTGGGTGAACCCTGGGTTCACCTAGTGTCAAAGCCTAAGGCTGGGGTCTTGCTGCCTTGGGACAAGGGGGCAGTGGAGCCAGGGGAAAGGCAGGACACCGCCCAGAGCTTCTGCAGCTTTGCCCCTGATCTTGGCACAGGAGGAAGAGTGATGTGCCTCTCAGCTCCCACGGACGCTGCCTGTGAAACTGAGCTCCCGCCGTGAAGCACACGCTACCTGTGTTCCCAGTCTGACAATGCTGAGAGGCTTGGGGGACAGAGCCGAGAAGGGGGAAATGGTGGGAAAAGAGGCCAGGCGGGCACAGTCGGGCATCTGGGGTTAACTGCAGGGCCACGGAGAGGTGACAGTGTGTAGGGTGTATGGGGAGGGGTGCTTGGGTGGGTGATGTGTGGGACCTGCCAACTGGGGGTGGAGGGCCCGGGGCCCTGCGGGACGTGTCAGAGACGCAGGACTTAATGCTAGTTTAGGGGCTATGGGTGAGGCCCCTTAAGGTGGGTTTACATAATCCCTCTGTCTTCAGATAGATTGCGCTTGCTGTTAAACCATCCTGTAAGTAAAAGTTTTTAGCTTGTTAAAAAAGGGAACTTCGCTTGAGGGATGTGGGGTTGAGCTGGGGCCACTGCCCAGTCTCCAGGAGGGTCAATGAAGATGGCCTGGGCATGACACACACAGCGGGCTGGACTGGCTCAAGCACACCACCCAGCCCACAGGCCAGAGGCACAACCTCCCAGCACCTTGCGCTTGGTGTCTTCTGGCCCCCACCCTTACCCCTGAGAGCAGGCTGGGTCAGAGGTGGGCAGGCAGTTCTCAGTGCAACTACACTCTGAGCCCCCTGCTCTGGCTTCTCACAGACCCACGACACGCCTGTCAGGAGCTGACAATGTGGGTAAGGTCAGAGCTCAGGCCTCAGAAGCATGTTATGGACTTAAAACGTAACACAGATTCATGGGGACCACGTGGGAAGGTTAAGAGGCGAGACCTCCCCTGCTGTGTCTGTGGAATGAGGATCACTTTGGACACCTGGAAGCCTCTTTTTGGCTATCACTGGGGTGCTATAGGGGTACGTGGGGGCATGTGATGTGATTCAGAAATGATGTCTCTGCTGGCCCTGGCCTGGCCCCTGCCTCTGTCCACACTGTTCCCTGTTGTCCTCCCTAGGTCCTTCCCCCATAACCCTCACCCATCCTGGCCCTACATCCCCTGATCTCCAGGTATTTGGGCACCAGGCGGGGGGCAAACAGGAGGGTGCCCGGGCATCCTCATCTACCCACACAGGACTCTGGGGCCTCCCTCGTCTCCTGCCTCAGAAGCCTGGCTCCTTCCAGTGCTTTCCCCGTCAATCATGCTGCAGCTCTCCAGCGTGTGCCTGATCATCACTTCCCATTTCAATGGCAATCTTGCTTCCACCCACGCCAGGCAGCGGCCCAATTCCTGAGGCGGCCAGGGAGGGGGCCGTGCAGGCTGTGTTAGCGTCCCTCCTCCAGCAGCCTCTAATCTTCTCATCCCTAGGCAGATCCGCTAGGAAATGGCAGGGCTGTGTGTGAGGGCAGCTCAGCCTCGCCCTGGGTGGGGAGTGGAGAGCTGGGCATGCTTGCGTCCTCCTCGGGACACACACAGCCCCGAGGCTGGGCCGGCAGGAGGGAGGCCCTGTCCCAAGGGGCAGCCAGTTTGAGGAGATGGGGGGGCGGCTGTGGAGCCAGCCAAGAGCTGGGATCTGTCGGCACTGGACACCGATGCTCTGCTTCCTTTTTGGACGCCACCTGTGTGGCCTGAGGGAGATGGATCCCAACTTGGCCTGGCTGCTCTGGTCTGGTTACAGCATGAGGGAGGGGAAAGCAGGCAGGCGTGGAATCTGCCGCCCACAGTACTTGTGCTGCCTAAAATCCCTCCTCGCGCTGATGCAAGCCTCCGCTGCCCACGCCAGACCTCACAGGTTGGTGTCCAAGCATGTGTGGGTCACCAGTGTACCCTGGAAGGCTCATGTCCACAGGGGGCACTGGCTTTTGCTGAACCATTGACCTGCCTCAACCTTAACTTCCTGAAGTTCCCTCCTCAGGCATTTAGATTTTGATGTTCTTCTGCTCCAGGATTCCCTTAAGTCCTGAAGACATGGCAAAATGCACCTGCCTTAGCATGGACACGTGGCCTTGGGAGCCGAGGCTGAGGCCCATCATGACAGGACAGCAGAGGCTCGCCACTCACCCAGGGTGACATGTGAGGCTCCTGAGGGCCACGTCTCGCCCGAAACATCAGCGGCCGTCAGGTGTGGCACCTGCCTTCACCTGTGCTTTGCTCACCCTACTTCTTCCGTCCCTAGCTTTATAAGCCTGTTAAGCCAGTACCAAACCCCCCTCCAGGCAGCTTTCCTTGATTTCTCCAAGGTGACTGGTACCTACTGGATCCTCCATAATGGCTCTGACAACTCTGACCTTTTTGAGAATCATTTCAGGCCTTTTTAACCCTCCACCTTCCTGTTCTTTGATGCTGGTGAGCAATGCCAGGGCCATATTTACCTCTGTAGGCCCAGTAGCAACTGGTACAAATGTTTGTTAAGAAGAATGTGACAGCTGATTGACAGTGAATGACTAGTGAAATGATGGGTAGATGAGTAAATAAACAAATTAATGAATACAGAATATGAAGAATACACAGGTAAATACATGAGCGAATAGATGAATGGGCAACGCAAAAATGATGTGAATGGATGGATAGGTCAATGAATGAGTGAGTAGACAGCTAACCAGCTAAATGAATAGATGGAGAACACTTGTGAATGAGTGACATGATAAATGGTTGACAGATGGATGTGGGAGGTGGGTGACTGAGTGGAGGGACAGATGAGTGTGTGGAAAGATGGATGATAGGTGGGTGGATGGACGGGAGGGCAAGTGAATAAGTGGGTAGCTATATGGATGGGCAAGTGGATGAATGTATGGGGTGTGTGTGTATGTAAGGGGGTTAATGGATAGATGAATGATGGATGGGCAATGAATTGATGGAGGGTGAATGGGTGAGTGAGAGGTACATGCATAGGGAACTGGGAAGTGGCTGGACAGACTGACGGAGATGTTGTTAGATGGTAGGTGGTGGATGGCTACAAGGTTTGATAGGCAGGTCTATGGAGGAGTAAAGAGATAAGTAGAATGAGTAAATGATTAGATGGATTGACAGATGAAAGAATAATGGGTGAGCAGAGATGGGAGAAAATGAGTACAGGAATGGATGGGCAGTTATCCGGATGAGAATGGATGGTTTGATAGACACATGGCTGTGTGAATGAGTGGATGGGGAGAGGGAGGGACTGAGGGATGACTGGGAGAGTGAGTAGTTAAGAGAATAAATATACAGGTAGGTAAGTGAGTGAGTGAGTGTGTGTGTGTGTGTGTGTGTGTGTGTGAGAGCCTTTGGCCAACTCACCACAAGGTTGCCAATGACCATAACCAGCAAGAAGACCAGTAGACACAGTGACTGCCCAGAGACCTCCATACAATCCCACATGGTCTCGATCCACTCGCCACAGAGGATGCGGAAGATGATGAGAAAGGCGTGGAAGAAGTCCATCATGTGCCAGCGGGGCAGCAGGCCTGAGTCGCTGATTTGGTGCCTCAGCTCTGAGTAGTTCTTGCCAAAGAGCTGCATACCCACCACAGCGAAGATGAACACAATGATGGCCAGCACCAGGGTCAGGTTCCCCAGTGCCCCCACTGAGTTGCCGATGATCTTGATGAGTGTGTTCAGGGTGGGCCATGACTTGGCCAGCTTAAAGACCCGAAGCTGGGAGGCAAGGAAGAGGAAGAGTCTGAGAGGCCTGGTGCCCATGCCCATGGGCACTTACCCACCGCTACCCCAGCTGCTGTCTGAATACCCTGGGAGCCCTCGAAGGTCACCACACCTACTTCCCATGTCTCTAGAGCAGACACCGCTCTTTCTCTCCACCCTGAAGGTGGCTTCCTCTGGTTCTGCTCTGGGCATCAATGAACAGCTCCAGTCTCATCTTCCCATCTCAGCCCTGTCTCCACAACAGCCCCTTACCGTCTTGTCTTGCTTCCAGGAATCTCCCAGTAGGTTCCCCTACCATGGAATTTCCCTGCCCTATATCCTCCCACAGCAGCATCCTTCCAGTCCAGCTCAAACCACCTCTGACTTGCTCAGTCACCTCCATCTTTCTTCCTCTCAGTTACCACAGAGAAAGGGAGCAGTGTTTATCATCTGTTCAACACCTACTATGTGCCAGGCCTGTGCCCAGGATAAAGGAGATTGTTCAGAACTCCCAACACCACATGTTACTACCCCCAACACTGTTACTACCTCAACTGACAGAGGAAGAAATCAACTCTTGGAGGTGAGTAACTTGTCTAAGTCTCCTAGCTCGTGGCCATGGAGCTGGGGTTTGAGCCAACAGCTTAGACTTCCCCGATTGTCCCCACCATCCTGCCTTCCCAGCACCCAGGGACGCCACCAACAGTGCTCAGGAACTCCTCGAGGAACCTTCCCTGACCTACCTCCAGCCCCATGACTTGCTTAGGCTTTTGAGCTTAAAGGATGGTCCCAGATGGGCAGCTTTGGCATCACCTGGGCATGTATGTCTAACAAGACCCCATGTGATCTGCGCGTGCATTCAAGAATCTAACATGCTAATTCTAAAAGCAGCTGACAGCAGACCTGACTGACTGTATTTGCTACCAGCCATGTGGCTTCAGGAAATTGTTTCGCTTCATGAAATGTGCATTTCATAGCACCAGGCCTATTCCTGGCCCTCTGAGGACCAAAGGGGTCATCGTGAGCACTGAACTGGTCCCCAGGGGGACCTAGGAAATAGCAGCTGGGAGGAGGGCATGGCGTTTCAGAGTAAAGTGTGCCTGCTCAGTGACCTTTGGGGAGTATGCTCAGGGTCCCGAGCCCCACCTCCCCCCCAACCCCCCACCTCTGTCCCCTTGCACGGGCCAGCCACGTACCAGGCGGAAGGAGCGGAGCACCGACAGGTTGCCCATGCGGGACAAGCCCAGTTCCATGAGGCTAAGGGTGACGATGACGCTATCGAAGATGTTCCAGCCCTGCTGGAAGTAGTAGTAGGGATCAAGAGCAATGATCTTGAAGGTCATCTCTGCCGTGAAGATTCCTGTGAAGACCTGTGGGGAGCGTGGCGGGAAGCGGGAATCAGGGTTTTCTGACATTTGTACGGGCAAGACTGCTGGCCAGCAGGGTCCCCCAGCTAGGCAGCCAGTTCTGACTGCACTCAGGCTCCCAGTGGGCACTCGCATGGCCATGGTCCAGACTGCCCACTCCATGGCCCTAGACTCCCGCTGCTCACCAAGCAGGAGCCCCCAACTTGGTCCTCAGAAACAGCTGGTCCCACTGTGAGCACCCAGAGGAGATCCTTGGGGCAGGGCGGCGGCAGCTCAGCCCAAACCCAGACTCCTTCCAGTCCAGACTGCCACAGGAACCCCTCGCTCCAGACCTACATTCTCACAGCCACTCCTGGGCCCTGAGACTCATGGCCGGCCGTGGTCCATGATGTTCCTGCCGCCTCCTGCCCATCTGCTGAAATCCTCTCACAGCAGTCATGACCAGCCACCCCTGACGGCTAGACTGGGTGCTGAGAGCTGGGTTAGATGTTCTGTTGTTCCTTTCAATTTGTTCAGCACTAAAGAGGAAAGTATCTTTATCCCCATCTCACCGGCAAGGACAGAGAGGCGCTGTTGAGCGACTTCCCCAGGGTCTAGCAAGTTTGCGAATCAGGAGGCAACTCAATGCTGTCCCTCAAGATTTAGAGCAACCACCTCTCCCTCCTGGGAGCATTCCTGAGGTGGGCAGAGGCTGGGCACCACCTGGTTCATTGACTCATGAGGCCTGAGCCAACCAGTCTTTGCCAATGGAGCCATATAGTCAAGGGCCCATGGGCAGTGGTTCAGAAGCAGTCATCACTGCCAATGACTCTGGGGTGTGCCTGCTAGCTGCTACACCATGGAGTGTGGTTTTGAGAGGAAGGGATGTCCCCCTGAGGGTACAGCTGGAGATTTGACCTGTTTACTAGGTTTTCCTGGCCAGTGAGGGAGGGGAGGCACTGAGGTCTTCTGTAGGGGGCAGACTGAGGGCCAGGCTACAGTTCAGGCCTATGGCAGCTGTGGGGCAGGTAATGGCAGAGAGCAGGCCGCAGCTGAGGCCTTGGGCGGGGGATAGCCAGGAGGCACCCACCTGCGGGGGCCCTGGGCTGACAGGAGCAAGGGAGAAGCATGTCCTGCTTACCCCATTACCAGCTCTTGCCCCCTCTGTGCAGATGAGACCCCGCTGTAAGGAACTGCTCTTATAGCCAGGCGGTGCCCCGGCACCATCTACCAGTTCAGCCTTCATGACCAGTGCTTGTGCCTAGAGGGAAGGAGTCTTCTTGGGGAAGGAGCCCTCTCCCTGCCGCTCCTCCAACCTCAGCCTAAACCCCTGGGCTGCCCGTGTGAGTGAAGAAGCGTCCTTGGGATCCCAGCAACAGGCGTTTTGGGTTATACGGCCTCTCCAGGCCTCTGGCCCGTCTCCTACTACTCAGCTGCTTTCTCGCTGTTCCCTCCTCAGGCCTCTGCACTGGCCGCTCCCTTTGCCCCAGCCACAGGGCTCTCCCGTGCTGCTTAGAACCATCATGCAGGAGCTCCTGCACAGAAGAGGAGGCCTCTCCCGCCACACTCCCTATCCCTTTTCCCGGCCTTTCCCCCTCACGTACCATCGGCCTTATTATATACGGACGTTGCCGTGTACTTCTCGAAACTCCTCCGGCTAGCATGTCAGCTGCAGTAGGAGGGGCCTTTATGTCCTACCGCACCCAGAATAATGCCCTACCTGAGGGTACTCTGCCAATTTTGTTACACAAATGTACAAATGCTTGGACCTGCCACCACGTCACCTGACAGCCCATAAGGGCGGGGCTTGGGTCTCCCATTCCCTGTACATTCCAGGGTACATTCCTTGTACCCTGGCTGTCTGGTCACCCCCAGCAACTGCTGAACATGCCAGGATGGGCGTTCTTAAGGCCTGCTTGACAGCCCAATTTTTTAGTGGCTGGATGGGCATTTATATTGATTCCAGTTTTCTCTGTGAGTGTCATGGCAGCAAAAAAAGCATAACTGTCTCTTGCTCAGACATGTGAACTTCAGAATATCTGTCTGTCTGTCTACCTACCTATGTATCAGTCATCAGTCACTTATCTGAAACTGTTACACTATAGGGCATGCACATCTATAGTTCACCCCACAGTAAACAAGTGCTCCCTGAAAGGGCCCCCCTAAGTCCAGTCTTAACAAAGTACAGTCCCCACTGCTTCACGTCCTTGCCACCCAGGGAAGTCTGTCTTGGATTTGCAGACGGGTGCGAGGTGCGATCTCTGTGCTTGGATAGCACCTGGCGTGCATGTGCTTCCCAGCACCTGGCCGTCCCCTGCCGTCTCGCGCGGTCCCTCGCTCCCTCTGAGCACTGCGGCTGTGTTCCTGAGGCGCGCGCCGGCCCTCTTCCCCGGTGACACGCACGTGGGTTGATCCCATGTCTTTCTAGTTCTGTACTTTTCATTCCATTAATTTCCAGCTGGTGGCACTGATTTTACTAGTCTCCTTTTTTATTATAAACTTCAATATAGTAAATGTATGAACCTTTTCTCTCATGGTAAAGACGTTTTGTACTGTTGAAAAAGGCTTCCCAACCTTGAGATCTTAAATGGTTTTCCCATTTTTATTCTAAAAAGATTTAAAATTTTGCTTTATCCCATTTGGGTATTAAATCCTATTACCTTCCAACTAATTAATGAGTATAATGTGGGGTAGGGATCTAAATTTATTATCTTCCGTATGGGGAAGCACTCTTCAGCATAATTTAATGTACACCCTGTTCCTATTGATTTATGATGCCATCTCTGTTATGCGTCAAGTCTCTGAAAATGTATTTCCTGTTCTGAGTTCTCAATTTTTCACCACAGGTCCATTTTGCTGTTTGTACCAATACTACAATATTTTAATTGCTATGACTTTATAATACATCTTAACACATTGCATGGTAAGTTCCCACCTTATTCCTTAATTTATCTTGATAGATTTTACATTTCTATGTAATCTATTTTAGGATTACCTTGTTAAGTCCTGCAGAAAATAAAGCATTGAGATTTTGATTAGAATTATATTAAATTTCTAGGCTAAATTGGGCAGAATTCATATGGCTACAACATCGAGCCTTTCACCTGTAAAAATGACATCTCTACCAATTTAAATCTTTTATGTTTCCAATAATTTTATACTTTATTCACATAAAATGGACAATCTTTTGCAACATTTATTCATGGATTTCTCATAGTTGTTACTGCCATTGTTTGTGTTAATGTTGAAAAATGACTCTCTTCAATTGATGGTGACTAGGGAAATAACTAAGTTTGGTAAATCAACCTGCAACACGGTCCAATTCTCTTAGTTATAATAGTCTACCTAGCCTGGTTTATATAGTAACAACACAGTCTGGGGAATCAAGTTGCATCTGTTTTCCTTCTTTCTTCTTTTTCATCTCTTGCCAGGTGACACAGACCTCGGAATCCCTTAGACCGAAAGCAGGGCGAAGAGGGCAAAGCTGTGTGCTGCCAAGCAGTGCAGCTGTGGCCAGCGTCTGGGCCTGAGCACTGCCTGGGCTTGAGTCCTGGCTCCACCACTTACTGGCTGTGAGGCCTTGGCTTCCTTATTGGACCTCTCTGGGCCTCACTTCCCAGTAAAACGGGGGAAACGGTATTAGCATTCTGCGTACTGGTTGTTAAAAGAAACGAGGCCTTCCACAAGCCTCCGCCACGGTCACCGCCCCTTGCACTGCAGCCAGTGTTCATTTCGGACTTTCTTGGGGAGGCTGCTAATGTTTCAAGGTTACGTGAAATGCTCCTAGCAGATTCTTCTAGTTTGCTAAGAGCTCTTACAGGGACGCATTTCATTTTATTAAATAACTTTTCTCTGTCTGGGGGAAGGTGGAATAAGTCCAACCTGGTCATGAGGCACTTTTTTTTTTTTTTGATAATTTGTTTGATTTTTCTTAATTAATTTTGGTTTATTTTTTTCTCTTTCTTTCCTAAAATCTCTTTTTGGTAATGCATATTTTTCTAAGAAAAGTTTCATTTAGTCTGTTCAAAATTTATTGGTATCATCATTATTCAGCAGTTCGGTTATATGGCATTTTTTTAAAGGTTTATTTATTTATGCATACAGAACTGGGGTACAGGCCATAGGTGTGGGAGGTGAGAGGATTCATCAGAAACAGAGTGGAGAGCAGAACAGGCCGACTGACTGAAATACACTGCTGAGGGGAGCAGAGAGTGGGTCAGGAGAGGTCTGCCACGCCATGTGGGTCACCCCCTTGGCTGGGGATTGAACTCACGCTGCAGTGGCTGCAATAGCTTTGTAGTACCATGCTTTAATCTGCTAGACCACCAGGGAGGGCCCTCTATGGCAATCTTAAGAGGACTAAGCCTGTGTGTGTATACATATGCTTGCTTCTTTTGGGGCCCCCAAATGTAATCCCAGAATCATCTTAAGTGTTAATTGCCAAGGCAGACTTTCTAGGAATATTCAGGTTCAAATCTGAACTGCTAATCTGTTGAGGTCAAATTCATAGGCAAAAGCTTCCAGAGGGTCGCTCTGGACCTACAGGGTCGCTGAGTTCCAAGCTGTACTCACTCCGTCACAAGGACACACCTCGCTTCTCCATGCTCATTGAAAGCCAAGCCACCCCTGCTACCCAAGTCAGCAGCCTCCTCCTCCCTCCAGGGCCACCTCCCTTTGCGTTTACCATGATTATTTTTTAGAAGACTTATTTATGCATAGAAGAACTGGGGTATAGAAGTAAGTGTGTGTTTGGGGGGAGAGGATTCACCAGAGCCAGAGTGGGGAGCAGAACAGGCAGATCTACTGAAATTCACCGCTGAGGGGAGCAGTGAATGGGATAGGAGAGTCTGCTGCACCGTGTGGGTCAGCTCCCTGGTTGGGGATCAAACTCAGGTGGCAGTGGCAGTGGTAACAGTTTGACAGAACTGAGACTTAACCCTGATGCCACCAGGGAGGCCCCTACTGACATGGTTTTTAAATCTCTCTTTGTTTTTGGCACTTGGGGATTTTTGTTCTACTGAACTTTGCTGTGCATTTCACAGAATGTTTGCTATATTTTCAGTTATTTCATAGCTGGAGACTTTTCCAGCTTTCTTGTCCATACTACTGCCAGGAAAAGCATGCATGCGCCAATCACCTTTGTTTATATGATGGAATAAAAGTTGGTTAAATCTCTTTATTTTTTTTTAATGGAATTTGTCGTTTGTCACTAAAGATACCTAGAATACATTGATTGCAAGGCAACTGAAACCTGACATAGCAATAAAGCTATCCAAACAGAACAAATAATAGCTATAATCCAAATGCATGGCCTATTACTAATAACTCAACCACAGGTTCAACACAACTGCAATTCAATCCCAACTTAATGATGCAGAGACTCCACCAGCCCTCTTTATCACCTCCATCTGCTGCTCAGTGGAGCCTAATGGTCACACTGTAATAAAAGCACACCCAACTGAAAGCCTGCAGAACCACCATCTGAAGATCACCCAACACAGGCAGGCACAAATTGTACCATGAGACTCCTACAGACAGAATTATAGCTTTCCCTTCTGTTTGCAACTAGAAGAAGATGGAAAGAAAAGAAGAATTAGAGCAAAACGGACTTACATTTGCGAGAAAATTTGAATAGATCCTATAAAGAACTATCTAGAGTTCTAGATATGGAAAGTAACATGGGAAGAGAATCTTCACATCCCACAGTGTGGGAGACCTGCCTGCCTGTGCAGCTGACACCAAGAAAGGCTAAATCTGCAGTAAGAGGAAGCTTGGACCAAAAGACCCCCTCCCTCCACCCAAACTCAGGAGCTCCTTTTGAAGGCCATGGGTGCTCTCGGCCAGCCTTGCTCTGGGGCCACCTGGGGAAGGCTGACTCTTGTCTACCTGAACAGGGCCAATGGAGGCCTGTCCCTCAGAGTCTGGACACAGTAGCTGCATGCCCGCCTCTGTCACCTCTATTGTCACCTTTTGGGCCTCAGCTTTCCATTTTTATAGTGAAGAGGTAGGACTTGATTTGATCGCAAGGGAAAAAAAATTCAGAGTTACAGCCCAGACATTCTAGGTTCCAGGGACTATCTCTTTAGTGACAACAACAATAACCACCACAGCTATCATTTATTTTGAATGCTTGTTTATCAAACTGAGCCAAGCATATTACCCACATTATCTGATTCCAGCCTCATTAGTTTCCTACGAGGCTGATATTGTCATACTAATTTTACATTTATTAAATTCAACAAATACTCATTGTGCCAATTGCTGAGACTAAGTAATTTATTTGAGATCACATATTTAGCAGGAGATGAGTCAGAATTCAAATCTGGCTCTGCCCAATGTATGTACTCCATCCATCCATCCATTCAACCATCCATCCATCCATCCATCCATCCATCCATCCATCCATCCATCCATCCACTCACCTATCCATCTATCCATCAACCCATCCATTTTTCCATTTATCTTTTTTCTGATTGTCTATCTACCTCCTATCCTACCCTCCTTCCTCTCCATCCAACCATCCATCTATCCATTCCCCCATTCAACAAACACCGACGCTCACCTCTATAGGCTTTATGATAGAACTGCCTCTCTCTGCACACACGTCTCTGCACCATCTACTGATTCCAAAATTTCAGGCTCCCCCAACTTAATTTGATTTTTTAGGTCTGGGACAACCTCTTACTCCCAATGACATCTTTCAGCTCCTTAAAAGTCAATCCTGAGATGACTGCCTCCACGATGTCTTCCACAGTGACTCTCACTTCAGAAGAGCCTTTGGTGCTCCAGTTCCCTCCCCCCTTACCATGAAGGCCATGACAGCTGGCTGAAACCCTTTTTACCAGCCATGTGGATCAGCCGTTGGTGGCTCTTACCAGGTTTCCGACCTGCAGCATCTCCTCGAACTCAGTTGTCATGTTATAGTGCTCCAGGGCCATGAAGAGCGTGTTGAGCACGATGCACATGGTGATGGTGAGGTCTGCGAATGGGTCCATGACCATGAACTTCACTCTCTGCTTGATAGACATCCACAGTGGGCAGCACTCCCAGATCAGGTAGTGTTGGGCGAAGCGGTTCCAACATGGCGGACACTTGCGATGAGACTCTTCCAGCTCTGAGGGGACAGTCAGTGAGCTAGTTTGTTTTAGTCGACTGCCTTATAAATAACTTGTGGTACTACCGGAAAGATGCATGACTTACCTGACAGGCTTCTACCTAGAGGGAGTAGCAGGGAGGATTAGGGGAAGGGATGCCCTGTACCTTATGTGGCTCCTTAACTTGGAAGTATGGGAGATCAGAATGGATGTGGGGAGGTGGGGAAAGCTGGGACGGGATAACTTAGGACAAATGTCCTAATCTCTTGAGACAACATTCCCACATGGACATGGGGGTACTCAGGAGAGGACAGGCTGAAAAGATGAGACGACATCTGAGCCAGGCAGGTTCTGATAGAAAGAAATCCAGGACAGAACAGGAACAGATGTGGACATCTGGGATGTGTTAGTACAGATTGGGGGGGGGGGGCGCTGCCTAAGATAAGCTGGAAAAGAGGTTTATAGATGTGGGATGGGGGAACAAGGTGGGATGTGCCAAGTCAGACCGAATGAATTGTGTAGTGCTTAAGGAGGAACTGGCTGGACAGACTGTAGGCCGCTGGACTAGTGCGAGACAGACATGGGAATGGCTGCAACTGGGCCAGAATTGGCAGGCTTGGGACAGGATGATCTCAGGAGAACAAAGCAATGCTGGGGCGAGGGCAAGATCAGACAGCTACGCACTTGCGAACAGGCAGGACAGCTCTGGGACTGTCTGGGAGAAACAGGTGGGGCTCCTGAGGACGTCAGGAAAGAATGAGCTAAAATATAAAAGGACACCGAGCAGAGGGTACAGACTGAAACTCTGGCACAGCTGTGGGCGTGTCCAAGGCTGTCCAAACCGATGGGGGCTACCTGGCTGGGGCAGGTCTACAGGTGTCTAGACCAGAAGTGGGGAGTGTTTGGGCGATCCGGGGCTGCTGACCTTCCAGTGCGCTGGTGAGGACGCTGACTGCGCTGAGGGCCCGCTGCCGCTCCCCTGGCTCCTCGAAGCCGTCCACGCCTGGGGCCTGCGGGGTCAGCGTCTGGGGCCTGCCTGGATCCTCTGACGGTGTGGTCTGGGTGCAAGCAAGAGATACACGTGAGGCCAGCGGTGGGCGTCCTCTTGGACTTAAGCAGCAGCCGGAACTGGGGCAGCTGGCACAGATCAGGATGGGGACATCACAGGCGGCAGGATGGGGGGCCTTGATGGGCACTGGGACTTCTCTGCTCCCAACCTCCCCACTAAAAATGCCCCCCACTGGACTATGAAACGCACTGGACTATGGTGATGGCCCAGGGTGATTTGGTGATGGGAAGCCCACGGGGAGTACAAATGAGATGAAAAAAATGCACAAAATGATGTAAAAATAAACTATTTTATAAATATATATATATAAATGTCCCCCACTCCTCCCACCAGTCATTCTCTTCTTCTTCCTCTGTCTCCCATCCGTGGTGATTCTTGAATGTGGACAGGAAGCTACATGTACTAAGGTCTACTAACCAGCAGCTGTCATATACATTAGTACTGCAAAAATAATCTGGGAGTCTCAACTGACCACAGAGGCCAGAGTTGAGAGCATAAATAAATTGAAAAACATCTACCACATTCTAAGGTGACATTAATAGCAGCATAAAGCACAATGCTTAGATCTAGTAATGGGAGATTTCTGGAGGCAGTTTGGTTACATCTATCTAGAACAGTTTAAATTAGCTCTGCAATGCCTCAACTAACAATCTAACTTCATAAATACTTATGCACATGCACCAAAAACAAGCATGCAATGTGCTGATACATTAAAACACACACACACACAACAAAACAATCAATAGGAAGAATATTAAAATAACTTATGAGCAAAAAAAAAAAAATCACTTATGAGCAGAATCTGATTCTGGACTCTGATAGGAACACTGAAGAGAATGAGGCTGTTCCACATGTGTTCTCATGGGAACACTTGCAGGACAACCAGTTTGATGAAAAAAACATCGAGAAGATACACGCTGAACTGTTAAAGTGGATATGTCCGGGTGATGGGATTGTGGGGAGAGGGGAAGAGTCCCCATTTCATTAAGGTACTTCTGCGCTGCTGGGTTTGATTATGATGTGTTTGTACCATGTTTGCTGAAGTAGAAGAACCAGGCCTGCAAATGGAGATGCGCCAAGTCCTGAGGAAGGGAGGTGGCACAGGACATTCCCTCAGCTCACCTGAGTCCCTCACTGCTCCCTAAGAAACAAGGAGGACCCACAAAGCTTTCTATCAGCATTGTCCACATGGGCACTGCCATGAGCCTGAGCTGGGGCTGTTAGAGACACGGCCTGTTCACGTACAAGAACAACGCTCCATGGTCTCTGCAGGGCAGAGAAGAGGGACCTTGGCTTGGCAGAGCAAATGCCTGAGGTGGACGTCAAATCTGAGGCCAAGTTAAGGTCAAACTCTGCAACTCGGTGCACGGCCCTGATACGTTGCTTAGGGAGGTGGTGAGTTCCCAGGTCTGGATGAATTCAAGCAGAGGTACCTGTGAGGAATGACAATGGCAAACCTGCCAGCTTACGTCACAGTGTGTCTTAAATTCTTCTAACTTCTCTCCTTTACCATCCATGCATTTGGGTTGTTACCACCTATGCATTTTGGGTTATTTGCTCTTCCCCCGGCCACTGTGCCTGAAGTAAATTGCCCTGTCCCATCAATGACACACTTGTTTTGGTCAGTGGAATGCTAGCGGACATGATGTGAACAGATGTCCTGCACTGCTGGCCTTGCTCTTTGCTTCAGACATCCTCCAGGGAAAGAACCTGCCCAGCTAGCTACCACCCCTGGCCCTGGGGCTCAGAACAAGGACATGGCAGCTTGAAGCAGAGCTGCCCAGCCAAGTCTGACCCAAACAGCCAAACCATGGCAACCTGCAGAGACAGAATGAGACTAAAGTCTAGCTGGCTGCCACTCACTTGGGGCCGTTTGTTACGCATCGTTGTGACGCTGATACATGGTCCCTGAGCAAGTCATCATCTCGTTCCTAGAATGGCTATGGCAGCGTCTTAACAGGGCTCTTCTCTTCTCTCTGCTCCCTACACAGCCGGAAGGCAGTCCCTTAAGAAGAAAATTAGACTCCTCCTACCTGACTGCTCCTCATCTTTCTCAGAGTAACTTTTCAGTTGCCTACAAGGCCCTGCCTACTCCACACCTGAAGCCATCAAACTCCTTGCAGACCATTTCCTGTCTGCATAATCCCTGGCCTGGCTCAGCCTTCTTTTCCCTTGACTGTGTCAAACCTATTCATCTTCGCACTTGCTGATCTCTGTCTAAAACCCCATTCTTCCACATCTTCATGGTTGGCTCCCTAAAATAACTTGCCTGTTGATTTTAATATTATCTCCTCAGGAAGGATAGCTCAAGCATTCTCCTGAAGAGCGGCCTTCCCCAGCATCTCTCTATCACTTGGAATATTCGCCAGCTCACCGTCCATCTCCCTGGCTGTAAATGGCACAAGGACAGAGCTCTTGTCTGTTTTCATCACTGCTGTCTCCCGGGAGCCTCAGAGGCTGCCTGGTACCCAATACAGTGGCTGGCACTAGAGAAATATTGGTTAGCATCAGGGGGTTTGGGTTAAAATCCTAGCTTTGCCCCTAACTTTCTAGAAGACCAGGGACCATGAGGATGAAAGTTTGGAGTGTGGAAGGAGAAGAATGTCTGTACTCCACCTCCCCACCTCGTCTGGGACCAGCACCTCAAACAGACCAAGGGCACAGGAAATATGCTCTTCCATCTGGATAAATTTAACACAAGCTGTGAATTGTGCCAGCCCCTGTCGCCTCCCCTGCTGAATGCCACGATGTGCCTGACACTGTGCTGTTTCCAGACTGGACAGGGCAGGAACATCTCCCTGGGGAGTGAGGGGAAGCAGAGATGGCATTCCCAGGGGTCTACAGCCGGCTAATCTCTTTAACTTTTCAAATGTCTCCATCTTGGTCTGCTAATTTCTTTAACTCTGCAAATGACCCCCTTGGCCTGTTAATCCCTTTAAAGTTACAAATGGGCCCCACAGCAGTGAGAGTGGGTGAAGTCAGAGTTCCCAGTAATGAGGTGTTTGAACTTGGATTCCTCCCGACATGTGCGGCACAATGAGATGATTTTCTCCCCAATGAGATTAGGAAATTTGATTAGCATTCTGGGCTGCTGACCTGATTCCACGAGGCCAGTGCTCCGGGGCTGGGCCTGTGGGGGCTCTGGACACTGCCACTCAGTGCTCCTGAGGACAGATATCCACCCTCCCAGTTCTGGCCGGGGTGCCCCAGACCCGCCCGGAAGCCGTGCCTCGTCCCCTCTGGGTCCCCAGCACCCTGTCTGCTCCAGAGAAGCGTGAGCCGCGGGCACTCCCAGTGTGCCAAGCAATCTTGACTCCTGTGAAACAGTCACCATCAAGGAAAATAACGGTTCCCCGAACATGAGGCAAGCCCTGGTCTCAAGTTTTAGCTTTTAGTCAGCACAACCTGCTCATGGGGTACTAATTTTGTTTCCACTTTACAGATGTGGAAACTGAGGCACAAAGTCCCACAGCTAGAACAAATGTTCGAGTTGGAGCAAAACAGGCCATTTGATGACCCGTCTCCTCTTCACCTACTTCAAAATGTCTTCCCCTATCTCCCTCTGGGCCTTGTGTCTGCGTCAAACAGTCACCCTTTTCCTGGGTGAGCAGCATGGGGAGGTAGAGGTCAGCGAGGATACCGGATGCCCGCTGGGACACTCACCACTCTGTCACGATGAGCTGACTGAGTAGTGCCGAGGGCTCTGAGTGCCCTTTCATGTGCCACCCCATGCCTTCCCACAATTCCAACTCCTGTGCCCGGTGTTCTGCCACACTGACCACATGGCGTTTCCTCTAATAGCTCCACAAGCTTCTGCCTCAGGGCTTCGCTCTTGCTGTTCGTGGGGTCTGGAACATGCTTGCCCAGATGACATGACAATGGTCTGTGCTTAGGATATTGCCACAACATCAGCACACCCATTCATGTCCTGAACGCACTAATGCCCCCCCCAGTCCCTGCATAGATGACAGCCAAGGCCAGAGAAACAAAGTCACTTGCTCAAACAATGCTGGCGAGCTAGCACCTGGAATCCAAACCCAGTCCGTGTGCAGACTCTGGGTGCTGCCAGCTCCTCTCACCCCTCACTTTCAGAAAGCAGCCTGGTCCCTACGCTTGCGTCCTTCTAGTCTTTTTTCAAATGCCTCTGAAGGAGTCAAGGTTCCTTCTCCCCTTCCTGCTTGTGTCTTCCCATGGCACTTAGGACTTGGCCGAATACTGAACTGCCAGCTTGTAAAATCCTGAAATATTTCACACCTAGTGAATAATTGTTGCTCAGAACACTGTAAGTGTCCCCTTGTCCCCCAGAACCCCCTGAATTCGCTCAGGACCCAGCAACTTGACAGGACTAACCTCTGGCAGCCACAGGGCCTCCAGGGGCTGGTCCTGTGCCCCCAGCGCTGGGCCAGGCCTTACTAGGTGCTGTATGCTTGGCCACCTCCCCTGTTTGCCACCATCCAACTCTGTGCACATCTAAGCCTGTTTTTCTCCTTTGATTTTAGAATGCCTGCCCACTGCACTGAGGCTCTCTGGTGGCAGAGCTTTTAGGGCCCAGCACATACTAGTGCTTTTGGACCTGGCACTGGTGACCAGTTGGACCAGATCTGCCCTGGTGCTACGCGAGGGGCTGCTCACCGTGTCTGGGGGGCGCTCCAGCATCATCGGGCGGAGGAGGCGGCTCCCCAGGGAGGTGGCCTCAGGGTCGCCCGTCCCCAACAAGGAGACCACCCCGTTGCAGTCCACAGTGCTGTTCCTTTTGCCATTGAGGGCATGGCCAGGAGCCGAGGTCCCAGGGCTGGGCTGTCCCTGGGCACTGGGCCGGCGCAGAGGCCAGGGCACCAGCAGTGATGTGCGGTGGCTCTCGCTGTCCCCTGCCGTGCTGTTTTCATCGTCAGCAAAATCTGTCTCGGAACCCAGGTCTCGACGGCGAAACGTGAAAATGCTCCCGCGGCTGGAGCGCGGCTTCATTGAGGTTCGGCTGAGGCCGTGGGTGAGGCCAAGGTGATTCTGCGGGCATGTGGAGAGGGGACATGGCCAAGCTGGTTCTTCCTGAGCTCCCAGCACACCTCCATGGCATCGGCCCAGCCCAGCTTCTCAGAGCAGTGAGGCTTCTGCCAGAAGTGGGTGGGTTGAGCTCGGCAGCAGGGGTGGCTGCAGGGCTATAAGCCATCCTGTAGCCCCTGGGATCGCCCTCACTTGAAGCCTCTGGGCTTTCACTTGAACACTTTTCTAGGTCTAAGGCTGGGGGTGGGGGCAGGAGGCAGGAAGACTGGAGAGCAGACAGTCCTGGTCTGGGCGGTCTGAGGGCAGTCAGCCTGCCCCCCCCATCTCCCCCAGTCCCAGCCCTAATGCTGGGACCTAGCTGAGGGTAGGGTATCATAACTCTCCGTACCTCTGCCCAAGGCTCCTCCATGCCAAGAACGGCCATGGGGGAAGGGGAAGGGCTGGGAGGGGGACGAAGAATGCTCTCTTGGGGAGCAGCTGTGTCTGACTGGACCCACACAGTGGCCTCAGAGCCACGCAGGGGATTACCATTGCTCGGGGGCCATCTTCTGAGTCGGACTTGGGGAACCTTTCATCCCCACACTCTTCCGTCCCTGAAGACATTCGTTTTCTCCTCTTGCTCCTTCTTTCATGGGTGATTACTGGGGCCAAAGGAGACATCTCCAAGGAGCTGCGGGACACAGTGTCCACACCCCTGATGGTGAGAGCCTAGAAAGGAGTGGGGGGACAAGAGGATTGAGAGTTGCTGAAGCCTCAGGCTAAGGCAACAGTGTCTCCATTTTCTCCAGCAAACAGACCTGCAGGCTCAACCCCACACCAGAGCATCACAGAGACTAAGTTCAGACAGAGCCAGATGTTCTGAGAGAGAGCAAGATCCAGGGAGAAAGGGGGAGGGGGACTGAACTGGCAGCTCTTGGAAGAGGGGGGTGTGGGGCAGGTGGGAGCAATGCCATTGATGACTGGTGAACCGAGGAAGCCACAGAACTAGAGGGCAAGGAATCTTCCTGAGGGTTCAGGGGGCCAAAATGGGTCTGGAGGAGGAGACATGGGCACTGAGAAGAAAGTGGAAGTCCACAGTTTGGCTTCTCGTGGTCTTGCCTGGAAGTTAGCCTGTGGCGCCCAGCTGTGGAGCTGTGGGCAGCAGGGCAGTACTGCCCGTGCTTATCTTCTGAGTGGCTCAGGCCTCTGACCTCAGACCTTCCTCGCTTCCCCGACAGAAGGAACCCCTGTACTAGGAGACGTTAGGACTGTGAGTGTCCCGGACACACGGGCACCACCTTTACCCACCAGGCACTATTTTTACCTAGTAGTCCTTTCACCAATAGGCACTCGGCAGCTATCAATTTTTACTGAACAGACACCACATTCACAGGGAATACTCTACTCAGCACCAGCTTTCCCCAGCATGCACCGCGCTTACAGGCACCAGCTTTCCCCAGCATGCACCGCGCTTACAGGCACCAGCTTTCCTCAGCATGCACCGCGCTTGGAGGCACCAGCGTTCCCCAGCATGCACCGCGCTTACAGGCAGCAGCTTTCCCCAGCATGCACCGCGCTTATAGGCACCAGCGTTCCCCAGCATGCA